ATCAGAGAAGTGGCCCGCCAGCAAGAGCGGGGGCGGGGGGGGGGGGGGGATGAGCTGGATGATGCTTGATGTCCTCCAGGCAGTAAAAAAACAGGCTCTATCACACTTGCTGCAGCTTCTAATGCACACAGTGAGAATCTCACAGTGTGCAGTGTAATGGGAGTAAGCAATTTCAGTACAGAAGTAGAGCCTGTAATACCAAGCAAGACTGAAGGTAAGGCTGGAGTTCAGCTTTAATAAATATATATTTTTTAATGCAAGCAATGTAACTGCCTCAATTTGAATTGGTATTGGCCTTTTGCAATCCAATATACAGCCTGAAGGTTGGGAAAACCAAAGGCAAAAATGTTTTGGACTGAGTGGGTCACCTACTTTGGAGTGTGAATCCCACAACAGCACAGCTTGGCATTGGATCGTACCCTGATAATGTTCCTGTAAAGGCGTTAGGATTCCGGGCATTGGGGCTGATTTATAAAGGGTTCACCCAGCGTATAGCTGAGTGAACAACACTCGTACAGCTTTACTGCCACTAGATGGAGCTGAGGAGCATAGAAATTCTTATGCTCCTTGGCACCATCTAGTGGAGCTGAGGAGCATAGAAATTCTTATGCTCCTTGGCACCATCTAGTGGCAGTAAGGCTGTACGAACAGCGTTTCCCAGCTACACGCCGGGTGAACTCCTTATAATTCAGCCCCTATGCCTGGAGTCGTTGTTTAATATAAATTAGGTTTGCCACATCAAACATTATCAGTCTTACATATAGATTTTGCTACTGATATAGTGCATACGTTTGTCATCTTCAGAAAGAATCCATGTCGTAGTTACATTTAAATTAAAATTCACGTCAGTCTTTTATGTAGCAGTTTAATTAAACATGAGGGTGATCAGAGAGAGAGAGATGTTTATTCCGATTTGCTGACTCATCAGCTCTTTCCCATCTGTCTCCGCTGACTGGAGCTCATGACACAGGAAGGTTAAATATAAAGTCGTGAAATATGAAGGAGCTCAAATAAACTGCATAATAAACTGTCCAAAATACTGTACTGCCTGAACCATAAAAATAAATACAACTATGCTAATTTTATTGCGCGATTTATCATATGGTTTGATTATTACTTATGTGAGCAAATCCTACCTGCCCATAGATGGTAAGCTGGCACTGGTAGATTTTCATACAAACGTTCATATGAAAAATCTCTTTAGGACATTCTTGAGAGACTTGACCAATGTTGTTTGAAATTTCACTGGATTTTAACATTCGATTTTGGAATGATGAACGAAAACTATATTCCCTGTTAGAGTTTCATATGTTCGAGAAAAACTTTCCATCCTGCTCCTCCCTTTTTTTTTTCCAACACTTGCAAATGATTGTTGATTTGATTCCATTAGATCCTTGGTTCTCAACTGGTGGGTCGTGACCCAAAAGTGGGTCACGACTAAAGTGTGTCGCTGCATGCCTTCCACTTTTCTAGGTGAGAGGCTCCTTAGCCTCCCCCTAGCACTGTCCATTCTCATACCGAGCAGCTATTCAAAATATGCTGCCCCGACACCGATTGCCGACTTGGGGTAGGCTGGGAGTATGGCCGCGAGGGAGCTCCATCCATACCTGCATTGCTTACAGCTCCCTCGCATGTCCTGTGGAGGTGCCTGGACTGGAGTGACATCACATTCTGGCTCCCGGCACCTCTACAGGCACGCATGGGAGCTGTACAAGCAATGCACATATGGATGGAGCTTCGTCACAGCACAGCAGCTCACACTGCCGTGCATTCGATTGCTGTGCAACATAGGTTGTGACTTAATGACCGGGGACAAATGTGGGTCCTGAGGTTACATAGGTTGAGAACCACTACATGAAATAATCCAACCAAGTTGAGAGGGAAAAAATTATCCATACCGGAATCCACCGACGAGCTCAGCCTCCTCTCTCTGGTGCTAGCAGAAGTGATACAGCGCGCGCCTGTTACTATTTAAACAGGCGTTCACTATATCCAGACTCTTGACAAGATAAGCAAAATGCACAGCGGACTTCCCTGCTACGCTAATAGCACAACCTGTCAGAAGTTGTATCCAGCGATTTAAATGTCTTAAATGGGAATGGGTGGGGCAAATTTAGATTGGGGGGTGCCTGAGTTTAGTCTTGCCTAGGGCAGCACAAAACAAAAATACACCACTGGCTACAGCGCTAAAATGGAGGAGAGGTAGGAAACATGGGCTGCTGTAGAGGTGAGTGTACTACTTCTTCCATCACAGGAAATTGACGTTTTGACTTATTAAAACTTCTGACATAGGCACTTTATGTGCCTCAGCTCAATCTAGTGGCCATAATATAGTATTCCCCAGATATTTTATTCGACTGGGAAAGAATTTATACTAAGAACCTTTGCTTTTCCCTCCATTGGCACAGAACGAACGTTCAGAGTTTCACAGGTGGAATGGCTCAGCAAATTGTTTATGAATACACCCCTATATGTCGGACACATCAACAGTTTTTTTCTCTACTTGCAGCATGTTTAACCACTTCCGGGCCGCAATACGTCTAGAGAGTGAGACAGAAGTGGTTAAAACAAGAACACGGCTGCGGCAGCAGACGTGTTTATTGGTACAGCTTTTAGCAGCAGGCGATTGCTGTTAATGTGCAAGCGATCCGGCATCTGTACAGCTGGCGGATCGTTTGTACCGTGCGGTATCGTGCGGCGTCCTCACCTTAGCAGATCCCTGCTTCCTCAGCTTCTTTGGGGTCCCTATGTTACATTAGGGGTCTGAAAGACCCCTGATGTCTCCATAAAGAGGACCTGTCACACCCTATCTGCTATTACATAAGGTACTTGTTAGCCCCTATGTAATAGCAATGGGGTTAGCGTAAAAAAAAAAAAGTGTTTAAAAATTATAAAATTAAAGTAACATAAACGAAAAAAAAATGCAAACATTTTTTTTTAAAGTCCCCCGCCCCCCACGTGCACGCACATACACCCGCAAACACGCGTCGGTGCGCCTACGTGCGAAAACGACAATTGCACTACACATGTTACATATCGCCGCGAACGTCGGAGTGAGAGCAATAATTATAGCACTGTCAATCACTATTAACACTAAACTGATTAGCTTTAAAAGTGTTTAAAATTTCCCCTATGGGAAATTTGGGGTATTGACTTTTTTTGCGGCTTCACGGGCGAACACAATTTTAAGGCTTGACATGTTTGATATCTATTTACCCGGCATGGCCCCGTCTTTCATATTTTACCAACAAATTGGGTATTATATTATGTTTCTGTTTAGTAACTTTTAATTTAGTTTATTCTTTCCTAAAAATACTGGTTTGATAAACATTTGCACAAAAAAGTGCAACATAAAAAATTGCAACTAGCATTTCTATATTCTACAGGGCCTCTGCTTTCAGAAGATATATCATTGTTTGGGGTCTGAAGTTGTTTTCTAGCCAAAAAGTTATATTTTATCATGTGTGCGCAATTAGTGCACACAAAAGAAAATGCTCTGGACAGCAAGTGGTTAAAGTATAACACATGTGGAAATGTGCCTGTATTACAGAGATGTACTAAATATGCTTTTTTTTTTGTCTTGACATACATTTTAAGTGACAAAATCACTGTAAGTAATTAAAAGGTGTATGTTTAATTATTTTTTTTTAAATCTCTCTCCACTTACCCCTTCGAGTTGGACCAACTTTTTTTAATAGGTTAAACACAATAACTGGCCTCAGATCAATGCAACCCACTTTTCACATTACCACCCCTAGGCCAAGCGGGGTGACACACATACACACTTTGTGATAGAGCCATTTGGGAGCTTCATATTGTAACTATTGCTTTGTTGTGGGCCAGTTAAATGGCAGTTTGAGACATTTAAACAAATATATTGAATGTGGCAGTGCAGACGCGTATGAAGAAGTAGTTGATCTATGGGGAAAAATTGCATTTTCATTATGTGACATGGCAACCTCGGTATTTCAAAGGAGACTATCACATTATGTCAAGTCTTGTAAAAAACTTGCTACCTGTAAGCGGTGCACAATAAAGATGTTTTTTAACAAATTAACTTTTCTAGTTTAATTTGTCTCACTGTTCATTGGCATGCATAAGTATTTAATGATGCCTAAATAGGAGGCAAGAGGTATGCAAAAGGCTAAGTAAGGCAGCCGTAGTCTAGGAAACAGAAAGAAGGTGAAGAGGAAACAGATGAAGATTCAACCCTCCCAGGGTGTTGCAAGTTCAAGAAGGCTGTTGAGTTAAGCATAATTACTCAGTGATTCCAGGCAGAGGTAGTGAGAGCTCTGATAATTCCAAAATTAAGGTATATTTCTCTATGTGACTCACTCCCCCTCTGTTCTCTTATGTGACAGCACTAGTGCTTGGCAAGTGGCTGCTTAGGCACCCAGTGACTTCACATGGGGTGGAGGCAAAGTCCTTCGTCCTGTGAAAGCTCCAGGTGGTGACTTACCGGTTACCTAGGGCTTTCTCTGTTCACTTATGGTGGGCAAATGGAACAGCGAGGGAGAGAAGGTAAGGTCAGTACAGTATGTGCTATGGTTACCAGATTTTCAGAAAGAAATAAGGGGGCAACACACTAACCAGATCACTCTCAAAATAATGCCACCATTTGTAGCCACACTTATATCACACCCCCATTTTTAACACTCGCTCAAACAATTGGTCACACACTTTAAAACCAACTTTAAACACAATAAACTAAGGTACATTACAATCACCGGGTAATTGATTGTGGTCAGGTCCTCTCCGTCAGGAGGCTGAATCAAAATGGTATCTGCTTTCAAGCCATGATATTATGTATAGGTTTGTCTCTTCCCCTCTACCTTTCCCATGCATTTGTCCCAACCAGTGGAAACCTTGTTTCTTGTCTGAAGTAGTATGGCTGCAGTGGTTGCACCATATTGAGGTAGTGTGTGTGTGGCGCCATCTCCAATATGGCCTCATAGTGCATAGAAAAGCCAGCTGGGAAGATGATTGCCGGGCATGCATGACAAGCTCCAGCAGCGACATATTGGAGTGGCAATGTGATTCTCATTGGCGTCATCCCGAACACCATTACCCGGCAGTGCACATTAGCAAGGCACTACATCACCAGGGACATTACCAAGGACATTTGTTTACAATGGACAAGCCCCTTCAAGACAGACAGACCCCAGCAGGGACAAATGATAGCCATAGTATGTGCAGCTGGTTGAGCTACCATTAAAGTTAACCTGACAAACAGCTAAATACCAATCTGAAATACACATATATGTATGGTTTTAAAGTTTGTGTAAACCATTTAATAGTGTGTGTAAAAGAGTGTGTAAACCCTTTAATAGGGTGACCACCAGTTTCTAATGCTGCAGGAGTGTGGTCACCCTCCTAAAAGCAACTGTGCTTTCATCCAATCTGCTGCAGTCAGTGCAACCAGCTGTTGGACTGACAGCTGCCATTGCCATTTAGCAGCTGAGACTGGGACTTCCTCTCACTGTAACTACCACTTTTGCTGGACAGCTTGGCCTGTTACAGGAAGTGGAAAAATGATGGATCTACCGGTAGGATCGACAGGTAATAGATCTAGGTTACAGAGAGAATTAAGAAAAACAAACTATGATGTGTTAATACCACCAACAGACTGCATAATATCTGCCGTTTTTACTTTTCCCATAGTTCCACTTTAATTGCCAAATTATTTTGTGATTTGGACATCTATTGCACACTAGCACAGCTAGTCAGATGACACACTTATGTTGTGGTTCAGCAACTGAGCTTCCTGGTTCAACTTTGTGCCTTATCCTTATCCTCTATCCTCCTCAATTCCGTCTATTGGAAAAGACGAAGGGCCATCTTTACTGGTAGAGGTGTGTGCATTTCAAGAATAGTTGGCCAAAATTACAAATCATTTGGCAGATAAAATAGTAACCATACATTATAAGTATGCTACCAATGTAAAAAATAGGGTAACCACTTAGAATGTAAAACAGTGATGCCTTACCTTGTGCTAAGAGGTTTGGCTGTTACACAGCTGTGGCAGCATAGAACATTGCAGTGTGGGGGCAGGAAGCACCATTTGTACTGAGAGGCAAAGGAATATGAAGGCATTTCTAAGTAAAAATCAGTCAAAACTTCATGAACCCAACAGGTACCCATTCCTGTCAATGGCAACTTACATTTCGACTGCCCTCCCAACCTAAGTACTTCCAAAAATACAGTCCTTGTGTGTTGTAGAGTGGTGTAGAGCCGTGAGGTGCCCACAACTCACGGTAGATGGCCATACGCCCCAACCACAGCTCACCCTTCCACTTTTACCCCCCATCTTACCCCCTCCAGCACTCCCTTACCCATTCATACCCTGCTTCCCCTCTGCCCTTTCTCTCCCTGCTCCTTTCTACCCACCTTGGGGACCCCAAGAATCCCAGCTTGACTTTTTAATTTGGACTTCTACATCCCAGAACTGCAACAAGAGAGAGACCAGTTACCTCTACCCTTGCTCTGTAACAGCAGTAGCTTTGTACTCAGTTCTTTCTTCCCTGAGATTACTGTCTAGTCCTACACAAGGGATGGTGATTTTCTAAAATATGGATGTCACGCCCATACATGCATATAGCCCTGGGATATCCTATCTCCATTTGCTAGCTTCCTACTCCTGCTGTCCCCTATTTCCAACCTCCACCCCAGTAGCACTCAGTAGGCACTATGATTTGTACTTGTAATTAGAATATCCTGCCTATGCCTCAATTGCCTCTGTACAACATCCTGTTTTCGACTTTCAAGTTACAAAACTTCTTCAATAAAATGTACTTGATATAAAAACAAACATTCAAAAATTATACCAGGCTTGGGTCCAGGATTATAGATATGAGTCTTTATTTGGGCTTAAAGTGCACAGATGTTTTTAAGTTCCTATATTTTTATTTCATTTGTTAGTTGTCCCATATATTAGCACGTACCTACCTGGAAATAAAGTATCTGCCTTTTAGTGATTGTCACATAAAGCTACACACACTGCCAAACTGCAGAGTAAGATTCCTTAAGCCCTCAGTATACATATATATTTATCACCTCAGGCTATTTGGCTGACTGCATTCAATTAATATCCATCAGCAGACAGCCGTTAACATAAGGAATATAAAAATAGGACCCTACTTAAGAGGTGTTCTTAAATACAATGTCAGCTTTGAATGGCATCCAGAAATTAAAATAATTTGTCACTTTTAAGCTAAACATCAGCTCGTCCAAGGGAAAAAAGCAGGACTCTGAACAATAGCTTAATGATTAAACAGCTTTTGCATTTGGAATCCATGACTATAATTTATTTCTTTTTTTACAGCTTTATCAAAGTACGAGACGTTTGGATTTAAAGTTGCAGTCATTGCCTCCATTGTAAGCTGCGCCATCATTCTGCTCATGTCGATGGCATTTTTGGTTTGCTGCCTGGTGAAATGTGTGAAGAAAAGTGAACGGAGAAGATCCAAAAGGTAAAGTGAAGCAGCTGCCACTATGGTACCTGGCATGCCTTGCAATCCCCCCCTAATTTCCAATATTTCCAATTGTGCACTGGCTTCTGTAGCTACAAAAGCAGAAATTCGTCCAATTGTGCTCCTGGGTTGTCACCATGTGAAATTGCTTCTAAAGGATACACATAGGCATATCAAGACACACCACGCAGGCATTGTGCACTGTTGAGAAATGCCATGCAGCCATTGCTGGAGTACATGTAGAGGAGGTGGCTGGAAAGGGGCTGCAACAATAAAACAGACTAAATAAATTGGCATAAAAAAAAAACACATGGCAATTATTTATGATATACATTAATGTAGCAAACTATGTCATTCAGTTAAAATGTACATCTAGTCAAACGCAGTACCCATCTGACCTTGTCCTTAATCAGGGGCAGATATGATTTACAGATCTCTTGGGGCCGGCTGAAGCAAGATCAGGTAAGATGGCAAGGCACAGATGGAGCTGCCGTCAATCAGACCAGTACTTGGTCTGTCTCCGAGTAAAGGGATTATCTGGGCAACCTGATACCAGCACTGCATTGTACTGTTGTTGGTCACTGTCACAAAAAAAGGTTATTAAAAGTACATGACAACATTTCCTTTTTAAACCCATCGTAAGCATATCATAGACAATTGTTTTGCCTTTATTAAAAAAGCTTCATGTAAAAGTTCACATAGATACATTAGTGCTTTACTATATTACATTGCACTTATGGAAGTGGGTGTCTTATCTGCTTCCACTTCATTTCCCAACGAGGATTCTTGTGCTGCACATATGGATATCTGAAAGAAATTAAACCCGTTGCTATAGACTAGTCCATTTGTACAAGAAAATGATTTTTCTGCACGTAAAGAACCACAAGGATGCCCAATGTTATGCGTAGTAAACTGTAATGCACTTCAGGCACATTTATCTTATGTTTGTACTCAGGGCCGTCCTCTATGATGAGGCATCTGTTAGGATTATGTGGGAGGGTGGTAGGCAGACTGGCATGGCCGCTTTGCTGCATAATGTTTGCAGTGTGCCTGCAACCCCCTTTCAGGCCAGAGCATTCCAGGTTGAATAGAGCCAGGTGGGGAGATGTCTAATGGCCATACATCTCTATGCCCAGCTCTTGGCAACCTGGGACACTCTGGCCGGCATCCCACCCAGCTTCTGGCAACTAGTGAGGTCACTGGTTGCCTGAAGTTGGGCCAGAGAGCCGGCATCACTCCTGCATGCCTGGGCGGAGGAGTGAGGCCTGGGCGGAGGAGTGACTCCTGCATGCCTGGGCGGAGGAGTGATTTCCCCGCAAAACTCAGGCGGCAAAATAGATCAGGACACCCCTGGTAGTGCTTGATATTTATTGTTAAAATGTTCAATAAAAATGATTGAAATAGAGATCAAGAAAAAGTTTGGATGTTACAATGCATTTTTCTTTTTAAGGCCCAGTTGTCACGATTGTGTTCCCATGCACGTTATTGAACCACACGCTAATTGCAATGGTGTGATACGGTATCATTTATTAATTTAACCATGCATTGCAGTGCGCTGCCAAAAAAGCGAGGGTCCGGTTTCTAGGCTGTTGAGGTGTGTTTCCACCCCATTTATTTTTAATAGGCTGCCTAATGCATCACACATTAATGCACAGTGTTAACCACTACTACAATGCACCACAGTGGTTAGGTGTGATCCCAGCCTTAAGGTCCCCACACACCTTACGATAATCGTACGATAATCGGGGGAAATCCCGCGATCGTACGATTATCGTAAGGTGTGTGGAAGCCGTGCGACCTCTACTACTGTAAGGTCGCACGACTTTAAACTTACGGACATGTTCGAAAATCCGCCGAGCATCGTACGATGTTCGGCGGGTTTGTGGCATGTCCGTACGATAACAGCCGTACGGGCCAGTGTGCGCAAGTGCACACTGCCCGTTCGGCATTGCGGTCATCGGAAGCCCGCCCCTCAGGGGGCGTAGCTTGTGATCATCGCAAAAGTCTTGCGATGGTTGTAAGGTGTGTGCCCAGCCTTACACTTTTGTGGGGAATGTTCATAATTGCTCCTTACTCCCTGTAAGGTCAACAAAACAAAAATGAGGGGACATCTCCCCAGTGGGGACACTAAAAAAAAACCCAACTATTCTGAGTGGCATTCCACTTTTTTATACAAAGGCCTGTAACCTTTAGTTACAAATCAAAGAAAGTGTAGTGTATTTTAAGTTACCTAAGATAGTAAAGGTCTTATTGTCTTGCTAATGTGTCTATACAGTATATACATATAGAGTGCATTCAGTAGTAAAATGTGAGCGGCTCTTTGGAGCTACTGTGGCCATTTGCATATGAGACTCCTCTGTAAGATCAGAGTTGACATGCTGAGCCCTGTGTTTCCGTTATCCCCTTGGTACCAGAATAGCTTTCATTGTGGAAATCTTTCATTTTAAAGTTACCCGGCACTGTGAATTAACCATTGCTGAGTCAAGAGTATATCCGGAACAATTTGCATATTCTGCTGGCTTTGTGCTCCTGAAATGCTTGCAGCTTTACTTATTCACCTATTTATCTTTCTATTCTCTCTATTTGCTGGCTGTCAGCATAATTATCTTAAAATGGAAAAGCCTCTTATTAAGAATCTCTGGAATATGGTATAACTGAAACACGTGGATTGTGAAAATATTTAAATAAAGCTAAAGTGGGCCTGTCAGTCACTTCATTTTAATGGAATGGAATGGTCACATACATACATACATACATACTTCCATCATTCAATAGTGCATTATAATAATGAGTAAAAATGTAATACCCTATTGCCATGATTAAGTTGCCGAGCCTACTTGTGTGTACTACAGCCAAAGCAAAGATCACATAGTCTGTGGTCGCCAGAAACTTTGTGGGATTTTCACATTATTCAGACTGCATAGTGTCCATTGATTTTAATCAGACAACTTCTTTGAGATCTAACAATAACTATGTAGTGCAAGTGCCTGTCATATACATAATGGTTGTGTAGATTAAAGGAGAACTGTGAGGTGAGTGATTTATCATCCTCATAGTTAGAGCCTACTTGTGACATTGAAACTATCACACTTCGGCTCTATTTATCGGCATGTGAGCGAACACATAAGTTGCTCGCTCACTTCCCAATCATCTCCCTGTCACCGCTCTCTGCAGGGATTCCCCCTCCCCTCTCCGATCCTCCAGCGCTGACTGGAGGAACGTACGGGGGGAGGGCACAACCGATGGCATGGCGAATGCATGCCAGAATTAAAGCTAAAGATGGTCCAAAGAAATATTAGAGTGTGCAACTTTTTTTGGTCACGCTATATTATTCTGTTACATAATCCACAATCTATATCACATCTAAACACTTCCATATAGATAATGTCACATGGAAATGGTATAATGAGCATAACTCTATGTGTTTCTCAGACTAACAGTCCCCTTTTTAGGAGCATATGTGGAGGGATTTTATCTAAAAACATTAAACAACAAATCAGTACATATAATTAACAGTAATCTTCAAACACTAGTATTTCATACTCTTATATCGTAAATAGCTAATAATAATTTGCAACATCAAGCAATATCAACTTCAACATATGCGGCTAAAATGTCCAAAGTATGATGGGGCTGTTAGGGTTCTGCAAAGGACTATGTACAGTCACTTTTATTTATAAATAAATGCATAATCCTTTTATATACTATGTTGGTTCCTATAATATATTTCTTACTGAACTCAGAGTATGATAAATAAATATTCACTTACTTCCAAGAGGACCACCAACACAGAGGGAACATAGATAATCTTCATACAAGCCATCGGATGATGAAGTGCATCTATAAATCAATAGAACCCATTATTCAATATATACACATAAGTACCTAACTACCCTTTATTCCATATAAGTTTCCCCCTTGATACCAAGATCTTTTACTTGGTTGGATGTTTAGCAGTATTCACCCAAATGAGGCAACGCCAAAATGTCAACCTCATTCAGGTCCATCTAGGGCAGAGTCATGGCTTATTATAGTCCTGGCTATAAGCTAATAACATCAGAAACTCCCAAATGCCATTAAGAACAATATCTCCTGTGAAATCTGAGGGCGGTAGTGTTTGATTTAGCTTCTTGTTGTTCTTTACCAGAAATGGTACATATCAGTTACAATTCCTCCACTACCAACTAATTAAATATTTTTTCTGACACCTGGAAAAGAGACGTTGATTAGATTTCACTTTAATCGGCCCGAGGAACATTATGTTTTTATTCGGCTTAAATTGAAATTGTGTTATAGTTAATAAAGTGGAAAGTATAACTAAAAATAAATGAAGAGGAGGAAAAGCAGAGGAGAAAAAAAAGACACAGGGAATTATCATCAAAACAGTTTCTTAACGTGTTAGGGGAAATTATATTTACTCAGTATCATCTGTATTTGGAGTAAAAAACAAAACTGTTCAGTGTTTAATTTTGGAATTGTTCAGTTTGTTTGACCTTATTAACGCTATGGAATTTTTCATTTATTTTATCATTGCTTTCTATAGAGGAAATTAAATTGTGTTTAGAAAGCATTATAGAATTGCAGTTTGTAGAACACACTAATTCCCCAGCATAAGAAAGCTAATTAGGACTTGTTTACAATATTTCAGTAAGAACAGAGGTCTGATTTTGCATTCATTTTCACATATGTGGGAATGCCACATGCTAGGGTACCATTGTACAATGTGGTCTCTACTGTAATCTGTGGAAGTCGTATTTAGTGCACACACGATTTAAACTCAGGAGTTAAATCTTAAAAATGCATTCAAGTACCTTTAACTATTAGCAAAAATGTAACCAATTTGTGTATCACTCAACCGTAGATCCTCAAATCATCTCTGGACTCATGCTGACACTGCCCTTTCTTCTGGAGGGTGGCTACTTTTGTTGCCCATGGTCCTTGTGTGTGTTGTAAAGTAGTCACCACTCCAAGCTCGCTCCTGTGATGGACTACAATCCCACGTTTAGTTTACTAATTTGTATTGAGATTGTAGTCCATCACAGGAGCGAGTTTGGAGCGGTGTCTACTTTACAACACACACAGGGACCATGAAGAACAAAAGGAAGCCACACTCCAGAAGGAAGAACAATGTCAGCACCTATTCAGAGATGATTTGGGGATCTATAGCTAAATGATGCATTATAAGATTAATTTTTGTTAATAGTTAAGGTGCTTGAATGCATTTTTAAGATTTAAGTCCTGGGTTTAATGTCACCTAATTATAACCTTAAAGGACAAGTTTTTTCAAAAACATCTAAGCCCCCCTCCCTAGCTCCCAAATATACACAGACTAGACATCCACTCCAAAGGTCCTTACCTCCTCCGACAGTGGCAGCTTCCCATGTTGTCTTCAACCTGGCTAGGTAGGAATCTAATGCCGGGCTGCCATACCTGCGCACTACCTACAACGCCCAATAGACTTGAAATGGTAACGGTACGAGGAGATACGTAAGCACTTAGAGGGATGTCTAACTTGTGTATTTTTAGGGGGCCAGGGAGGGTGGCTGTAAGGTTTTTATAAGAAACCTGAACTTGTAATTTGATGGCTTGTTTAAATCATGTCTGTTGGGTTGCATTTTTCTGTACTCCACCTAACTTGTATGTGTGAACAGGGCATGTAAAGAACTGTTTTTTTATAGGTGTTTTGATCACACCAGTGTAAACAAGCCCTAAACGATAAATATAATTTAAGTGCCGTTGTCCTATAAATTGGCTCCGAACTGGGCAATGCACTTTGATATCCTTGTGTAAGCTATATTTAATAAGTATGGAGTTAGTACAAGGTTTGTCTAGCAGAGTGAACAGGTCTACAACCTTTGTTAGGATGATAGGACCCCAAGATCTCTGCTCACTTCATGACCATGGATGGATGTTAGACTAAGCAGGAAAAAAGCCTTCCTACCCCCACAATAACAAAAATAGTGAAAGGCAATAAAAGAGATTGAAAGAAAATTTAAAAATTACCTTACACACCAGCTTCCAACAGGCTCACCTTGGAGATGGTGCTCTCACTAATCCTTTTCATAGGATCCTGGGTAATCTAAAGATACCAAATCCTGCAACAGTTGTGCTACTGTACAGTGCTGGAATCCTTAGATGTCGCCAGTGCATGCAGAAAATGCCAGGAAGCTGTAAGTGTAAGATGAGTATCTTTTACATTTTTCTTTCAATGGTTTTCATTCTCATTAAGTTTGAATTGGGGTTTGAGATCCTCCTAGAAAAGTGGACCTTGTATTGCAAGGTTTATTTGAACAGATACTGCAAGTTTTACAATGATTCTCACCCTTCAATTTGGGAATATTCCACAAAATGTGGGAGTGATGTTGGCAGTGATCACATGACCACCACTATCCCATGAGTTCTGCTGATACCGATAGCCGCAACATCCGTGTCTCTGCCTTTAGTGGAGAGCAGAGCCCAGGGCAAAACACTGAGCAGCACCAGAACTCTGCAAAACCAAAATCTGTGCCACTGGTCCTAAAATTATGTTTGGGCTGCCACAGCAGGAGTTCCTCCACTAGATGATCTAGACACAAATGTAAGCATAATAGTGCTAGGTAAAAATACATAGTACCATGAAAAATATGACCTTAAAAGTTGACATCAACAAAAACAAAGTCAAGCTCAGCATTACTTTTGAGATATCTCTTCATTAGGGAAGCTCAAATTAATATGAAAGTCTTGTGCAGAACAATTTTTTTTACATTCTGTTTATTACTTCCATTAACTAGCATAATGAATGTTGTTATAGCAATATTCATAAAATACCATTAGAGAATGTGGCATTCGAATGAACAAGTTGCAGCTGATTAGTTTCTTAATCAGAGTGTTATGTCCCTCCATTCCACCAAGGGTCTTAAAAACTCAGTTTAGTATCCCCCATAGGGTAATAATATCCAAATTGATGGCTCGAGGGCTGTATGAAGTCCAGGACATGGCTTTTCCTTCATACATCAGGTTACGTAAGGGTGAAATTATGTGACAGAAAAAAATGTAACAAATCAGCATCTGCATGTGAGGCCATTAGAACCTATAAAAGCTAGTTGCTTACCGCTACATAAGTGCTATTATGCAAAATTTGCATTCAGAAATAACTTCAGCATAATTAAAATAATGAATTACTAAAAACCTCCTCTATTTCTTATGGAGTGAAATAGAATCTAATATGTGGCTCAATACTTGATGTCGTTACACACTAAGTGGAATATAGATTGCCACTAGCCCCCCCAAGAAGGTCTATTCACCGTTTATTGTATGCCATTATTTCACATGGTTCATGCTAATATTTCAGGGCCCCAGAGGGTCACTTTGTGAAGGCAACATGTTGCCTCGACAAAGGGATCTTGCCATGCCCTGAAATGCTCCAGGCAATATAACTGGAAAGGATAGTGGGAGGTAAGTGTAAAGTGTTAAACTTACCTCTGTGCTATCCTTTCCAAGATAGAGCTCTCCAAAAACTGTGCTGTGAGTTCAGCACTACTGTTAGCTGAATGTTTTTAGTCTTTTTGCTCTTTGCTTCCTGTTGTATTATGCATGGAATTATTTTCTGCAATGGGGCTGGACATTCCAACATAGCTTGTTCTTCACAAATAATGTAAAACCTTTACTATAAACACCAAGGGTAGTGCCTACCTCACCATTTAGAGACTATTCTGGCATTTTTAAAGCATAGCTTGCACTAAAAAGCATATTTACTCCACCCTTCCAAAACGCTACAGTAAAATATGAAAGTGAAGTAAAAAGGGACAATTACCATGCTCCATCTGCGGAATACTTATGCTATTTACAGATCAAACATTGGGCCTCTTCTCTAATTTCCAATGAAGTACCTTCCAACCAATTGACGATTTTTGACCACTCCTCTGCAACCTAAACTAATTTTGATTCTATATTCACAACTCAAGTCTGTGTCATCCGTCTGCATCAGGACTATGTCCAAAAATGGGAACAAGACCTACAAGCATTTAAGTCTGACAGACTGGCAACACATTTGGATCACAGTGGCTTCCTCTACTATTAATATTACCTCCCTGGAAACAGCATATAAATCTTTGATGCGGTGGTACATGGTCCCTTCCAGACTGTCCCATCTCATTCCCGCACATACAGCCTCAGGTTTTCGGGGGTGCACGCGCAGAGGTTATGCCTTACATATCTGGTGGTCCTGCCCAATGATCAAAAGACTCTGGATTGAAACATCCGGGCTATTGCGATCCCTTTTTCACAAACCTATTGCTAAAGACCCCTGGTTGGCACTCTTACATCTTAAACCCCCTGTCTCTTACAAATGGCCAACACAAACTAGTGTTTTTTATGTTATTGTCAGTCAAACAAGTAATTGCCCAGACCTGGAAGAAGCAATTTGTCTCCTTCGTCAATGTGCGACGTAGGATTGATTCCTTTTTTATCAATGAGAAACTGTCTAGTTTTTACAAACTAGACAGTTTTTAGACTCCCAAATGAAATTTATCAAGGTCTGGAATCCTTGGATTTCCTACATCCATCCTGCCATCCCTTCAGAGAGCTTGACATTTATCTGAGCTCACTTAACAACAAGATGCCCTTGTCTTAGGGGACCCTGGTGCTGTTCTTTCCACCTTATTCTCTCCTTTGCTCTGTTGGCTCTTCTTTTAACTCTTCTTTTTCTCCTCTCCTCTCTCCATTCTCCCTTTCTTAACTAGAACATCATGTATGATGTAGACTCAAGTTTATACTTCGGATAGGCACATAAGGCCTGCTGAAAAATGTGTCTTGTCCCCTTTAAGAGATCGAAATTGGCTTTATTTGAGTACTTACTACATTACTCTTACCGTTTATTGTAACCAAATGTTATTGATATTCATCTTGTAACTTGGGGGGTGCATATTCTGGGGGAATATATGCTAATCAGCATCCCTCAGGAACTCAACAAAAGGATGGGGGCGTCCCCCCTAGAATACGGAAGCCAGGGTTAAAGGCTAAGTTTACCTTTTCGAGCATGTTTCAGGTTACACCCACATTCAGGGTGTAACCTGAAACATGGTCAGATCACAAGATCTACATGCTTTAGAATGTAAAGTCCTCTTTAAAAAGCAGTAACTCATAAAATGCTATCACCTACAGCAGCCAATCAGACTTCATATCTCATATGACTATTACAACAACTGGTTTGCCATGACCTAATGCAGTTTGGACTTTATTGTTGCTCTTTTCATTGCCATCCAATCAATGACATGTGCACTTTAAATGCAACGTGTTTAGCTCAGTGAGAATGTTCCCATTTCATATACAAAATATTTAGGTATAAGCTACACAGCCAACCGCTGCGCTCATTTTCTTACAAATACATTTTAAGATAAGTGGTTTCACAAACAATAACGCTGTGACTATGAAAACAGGATAAAAGCTTGTGCGTGATCAAAATGTCATCATGCTAATAATCCCAACCCCAGGAAAGCAGAATGTAACGTTCCACATAAAATATCCTTCCAATTTGACATGGGAGCGAAGCTTGCTCTGTGTGGTGTGTTGGAGAGAGCCGGTACATTGAGTATATGCATATTGCGTGGATGTACCTCCTTCCATTGATCTAATCTTTTGTCATTTCACATTGTGCAGAGACAAGGTCATATGGCATCAGTTAGAATGCGAAGAACTGGAGAACATGCAGGCGGCATATTTCGCAATGAAAGGGGGAAATAACAATAACAACAAGCCAGCGAGGCGGCCAAGAATCGACGACTGGCTCAATATGGTTTACGAGAACCAAGGGTTTTGTAGGTAAGCGTTAAATAAAACAGATTGTTGTGCTTATAAATCATTGGGAAGATAAAGTGAGATTTGCTATTACTTCCTTTCACTAAAACCATATTTAAAGCTTCGGCGCATAGGAAGAGCGCTAAATGCAATGTCAAATTATTTCTGGACAGTTTTAAAGTGAACCTGTATTTTGTGCATGCTGTACTTTGTTTATCTGCTGCTTTTTACTAACCTGATGTCAGGTCGTATCTACTATAAAATGCGCCTATGATATCCCACCCAGCTGCTGGTAACCAGTAACGTCACTGGTTGCCAGGAGCTGGGCGAGACTCTCTGGCCGGGGTCCCACCTAGCTCCTGGCAGCCAGTGATGTCACAGGACACCTGCCAGAGTGAAAAAAAGTCAGCTGTCTCTGTGGGTCAGGAAACCTTCGCTGATCCACAGAGTGCCAGCTCCCCTTCAAGTGGCACCCAGGACATGTTCCATATGTGTATATACCACTGCCTGATGTTCACCCCCCACCGCCCCATTTGCAATGGGAGCATGTGATCCCCTCACCATACTCCCAAGAGGCAATGCTAGGTGCCTAAGCATCATGTGGTGGTGTGAGTAGAGTTCTTGTCCCTGTGAAAGTTCCAACTGGACTGACCTAGAGTTGATATTAAACGTGCTTTGCTTTGACAGTCAAATTTTGTAGTGAGGGGCCAAAGTGGAAGGTAAGTATGAAAATCAGGGGCTGGTGACTAAGTTTACTTGTAATATTGCCCTGCATGGCCAAAGTACAGGTTCATGTTAAAGTGTATATACATGTGAGCAGCCTTGAACTTTTACCATCTGCTGGTCATTAGCAGCCGTGGGCTTGGTGCAAACCCAGTTTGCCTGAGTTCACCCATGCCTACTCAAAACTGTGACTGAGACACCCCCCTCTTGGCCCAATGAATTGGTTTAGGTGCATTCCCTGCTCCACAGCTATATGTCACCAAGGGATGGGGAATGCCCCCACTGCAACTACCACCAGTGATTGGGCCATGAGGGGGCTGTGGCTGTCGCAGTTTTCAGCAGGCTGGGGTAAACTCATGCGAACTGGGTCCGCATCAAGCCCAGGCTCATCACTGCTAATGACCAGCAGATGGTAAAAGTTCAGTGTTGTTACATCTTCCGTCGCACCAGAATGGATAATTAATCAGCATTGCGTCTCAGGTCTCCGTTGTGCACACCTGACCTTATAAGTGGAATTAAAAGTGAGAACAGCAGATTTTTCTGTTTGCTCATGGGTTGGATGGAGATTTGTCTGTCTCTAAATTTAATCCGATTTGTTGATGCCTTGGATTATTCCTGTGTATTTTTTGGTCTGATTTGTACTAAGCTTGGCTACACGTGTTTACATCCTGACCATTGGACTGTTACCTCTGCTGTTGCCAGTCATTGTTCCATTTACTGGTCTGGAACTTGGACTCTGTTTGTCTGTGCCTGTCCTAGCTACTAGCCTGCTGATTCTGCTAGCATCTGCCCTTACCACCTGTCTAATGATTAACACCGCTCTTGCATAGGTCCTGTCTGTTTTTGTCTTTTGCCCCTGGCAACACAGAGGACCTACCCAACTCTGTGACAGACAGTGGATACATCAGCACATGCATGCAACTCTTAATGTTTAACCAGTCTATTGGCCCTAATAATAGTGACAAGCCCTGCCCATTTCTAGAGGGGGCAGTCAGGAAGTATCCTGAGGGTGAAAGGGCATATGTGTTACACTAAACATTCACTGTAGGGGGCAGGCCTTATCATAGTGAACATTATCATAACCCAGGACACCTCTGGGATGGGAAGGGTCAAGTAAATCCATCCCTAGTAACAAGGGGGTACATATGTGGACTGAGGTTACTACTAATTTCTGGTAAGAATGTCTCTTATGTCTTGAGAATTTGCTGCAGCAGGACCTGTTGTGGTCATTATTGAGCCTATGATACAGATTAGTTGCCTGAGTATTTTGAAATCCTAAAAATGGTGGCGTTGATTTTCTAAGGGGACTGAGAATCTTCGCTCAACATTGGCTGTGTACACATTGAATACCTAATCATGTACAGATGAAATAAATAAACAGGAATTGACTTATCACATAATTGGATAATTAAAGTGAATCTTCAATTTCTTTAATTTATTGAGTGAAGACTCTCAACTCCTCTAGTCAATCAGCCTCATTTTCTGATAGGGGTAGTTAAAGACTGGAGCTGAATGATTGGTTTATTAATAAGGGAGTAGGGTTTCCAGGTACCATTGTGATTTAAAAAAACAAATCTGAATCAAAGGGGTTCTTTATTGTCCGTAAATTAGTGGAATATGAAGATATGAATGAGGTGTGACATTTTGGACTTGACTTACTAAAAAAAAAAAAAGGCACAAGAGCATGGAGAATCACCATGAAGATAAATGGCATGCTTCCCCTGGCAGTTGACATGAGTGTGCTGACCTTTGCCTATTCTGTGAACATGATCTCTTAAAGGAGTTGTAGAGTAAAAGCATATCCTAGCCGGTTATAACATCAGCTTTGTAATAGGAATACATACAAGAGTTGTTTTTGATAATACAATCAAACCTTACTTGAAAAAAAATCCCTTTTATGTAGTGAGTGTTGCCTTCCGACTACCCACCACTTTCAACAACTGGATTCTCAGTGTGCTTTGCGTGTCTTTCCCTTCTGCTTGATGTGATGCAATCTCGATTTCTCAAGACTACAAATCCCATAATGCTCTGCTTCCAGCCAGCAATGATAATGTTACATTGTTCAGAAGTTGAGTGGTAGTTCGAGAGCAGGCTCTGTGACACCCTTGTGTCATTTATTCACATTGTATATTCACATTGCATATATTCATGGGGCTGAGTAAAATTGTGTCAATGCATTAAGAAAATGTATATCCTATGGGCATCTCCAATAAGTAAGTTTACAAACATCTAGATTGATATGGGTATTCGGAATGAGATAGAACTTATGGAGATTTAATATAGAAATACATATTTATTTTCAGCATTTGACAATACATACCTTTTAATTGATCATCTACAACAGGGGTGGCCATAAGGTAGATCGTGATCTACCAGTAGCTCTCAAACTTGATGCTGGTAGATCACGAAGGGTGTGAATGGTGGCCCCTTTATTCCATTTTGGTATATTTATTTAGCTGTGCACACATGATTACCTATTAGCCTGAGTCTGCTGAGCCAAGCTCCCTGACACCTTTCTGGTGGATACTGGTGGTTGAAGTGATATGTATTACATCAAAGAATATTAGTTTACACAGCCTGTTGCAAAATATAGCAAGGTGACCCAGGAGAGAGAGTGAGGAGAGACAGACAGGAGAAAGAGGAAAGACAGCCAGGGGAGAGAGAGCAGGGAGAGACAGCCAGGGGAGAGAGCAAGAGGAGAAAGCCAGGAAAGAGAGATCAGGGAGAGACAGCCAAGAGAGCAAAGAGCGACAGCCAGGAGAAAAAATGAGGAATGACAGCCAGGAGAGAGAGCGAGCGTGAGGAAAGACAGCCAGGAGAGAGAGGAGAGGCAGCCAGGAGGATGAGCAAGGAGAGACAGCCAGGAAGATGAGCAAAGAGAGGCAGCCAGGAGAGAGAAAGCGAGGGAGTTTTTTTTTTCGTTGGTAGATCTCATGTAGCTTGTCTTTTGAAAAGTAGATCTTAACACAAAAATTGTGGGCACCCCTGATCTGCAACATGCACTCACGCTCAGTGTATGCATTGCATTCCTGCATAGAAAGTTTGTTATTTCTATGCTTTAAATGTAGAAAAGGGGAACTAAGTAATGTGTGTGTTAAGATTCAGAAAAGATACAAAACAAATTTAATATAACCAGCTCAACGCCACAATTGCCCACTTACACAAAAAGGCGCATAGATCCAAAAGCGTTTGAGAAAATTACATTTTATTTTAGGTACGCCACTGGAGCACAAACCAAATTTTTTAAAGAATGAGCCATATGTACGCTATCATTGTTCGCAAAGCATCAACCGAACAGTGAACATTCGTTTTCTTTAGTAAATCAGGCCCTTTTTTGCCATTTGTGTTGGAAATGCCTTCCCTAGTGGAAGTTGGGTTACAAGGGGACCAATGTGACCACAATAACCACATTTATGTAGCCAAAAGGTTTATATTAATTATCAGTTGGTAGTGCTAACACAAACATAAACAGTATTCTTGAAATAAGTCAGAATTTATTTTTACTATCCTAGCCAACTGATCAATTATTGGTAGGCCATTTATTGATCATCTGGTTGGCTGCTGTAGCCAACGTCTGTGACTTGCAGCAGGTTTTGTAGACAAGGCTTTCAAAATGGCAATGAATTATATATTTAGTAGTGTAATGTAGGAGTGTGACACCCCAAGCTGTCATCTCTAGAGTTTTCATTGTATTTGTTGTGAACTATGACACAGGAAAATGCTCTCTTTTAGCCTTTTGGCTCTCTTTTAGCTGTGTGCTGAATGCTGACAGTTGATTCTTCTCAGTTTATTTATGTTCCATCAGTTGAAATACAGTAAAAAGTGCAATTAAATAAATATTTAGTATTTCTTACAGGGGATTGTGGAAGTTTAACTGTTTTAGATGCACACTATTATGTTGCTTTTTCAACTAGAAACAACATAAAAGTATATTTTACACAAACAGGAAGTGGTTAAGGTGTGAGTCACCCCACACTGGGTGGATGTTGTAAGGTTTAGTAAGATGCATCTTCCCCTTACATTCAGGAAATCTTCCCCCACCAGTTTAGGTTACTGACTACAAATATCTTAAAGAAGGAAACTGAGACAAATATGAAGCACGCTATTGTTGACCTCTTTTCAAAAATATTAGATGTCTAGAGGTCTCTGGCCTGCATACTTTCTGATTCCCTGGCCTAAAAGAAGCATTTAGCTAGTAAAACCAAAGTGAAGACAGCACACTTGTTCCAGGTCAGTACATCAGAAGTATGGGACATAACAGTCGAGCAATGGCAGCATATATAGTATATTCCTAAAAATAG